CTCTTAAAGTGGCTACGGTTGACACATTCTCTTAAACACATTTGGACTATTGGATTACTTATTTCTCCCTTTCCAATGTAACATGTCAAACTTTACTTATCTAATGTGAATCTTCCTGCCCTCGGTTTTTTTTTATTTAGTTTCCTTTCTGATATTTTCAAGGGTTTTACCTTCTCATCCTTCCTACTTCCTTCCTTTTCTGCCATTTTGACAACTAACCTCCCACAAAGCCTTCCACTGTACACCTCCACACCTGCTCTCGTGTGTTTCGATCTAGTTTGTAGTGGGTTGCTGGGGTTTTCCACCTGCCTCACCGATCATTCACTTTGCACACCAAACTATTTACACAATCACTCATTTTCCTTTCCATCCTGGTAACAGAAAATACCCCTCCGAACGAAGCCTTGTGCCGAGATGGAAAGGTATTTTAGTAATTTTCCAAACTTGGCCCTCTCTTTAAATATGAAGGACTACAGCTCCCATGGCTGTCAGAATGAGCCATGGGGGCATGATGGGAGCTGTGGGCCAACATAGTGGGAAGCAGCAGACTTCAAATATTTGTTTCTCTGAAAGAATTTACATCCTTCCTTTGCGATGACACACTCAGAAAAAGGGAAGAAGACAAGAAAAAGATCTGAAGTCCTCAGCTTACAACCATTCATTTTTGTGACCATTCAGAGTTACAATGGCACTGAAAAAAGTGACTTATGACCGGCTTTCACACTTAGAACTGTTGCCGCAGCCCCATCGCTGGTCGCGTGATCAAAATTTGGCAGTTTGGCAACTGGCGTATATTTACGCAAGTTGCATTGTCCCAGGGAGCATGTGATCACCGTTTGTAACTTTCCAGCCGGCTTCCGACAAGCAAAGTCAATGGGGGAAGCCAGACTTGCTAAATGACTACATCAGAGGCCCCCAACCTTTTGGGCACCAGGGACCGGTTCCGTGGAGAGAGGTTTTTCTGCGGACCGGAGGGGTGTGGTTTTGTGTGCTGCCTGCATCTCACGGATGGGGCTTTGCTTGTTTGTGCGGCCCGGTTGCCGGCATGCCGCGGCCCGGTACTGGTCCACGGCCCGGGGGTTGGGGACCCCTGGACTATATGATTCACTTAACAACTGCAGAGACTAGCTTAACAATCGTGGCAAAAAGATTGTAAAATGGGGCAGAACTCCCAAGTGACTTGATTAGCAACGGAAATGTTCAAGCTCTCGTAAGTTGAGAACTGTTCTGTTTGTTCAAATCTTTTTTTTTCTCTCCAAAATGCTCCTTCAGGAGGCCAAGAGCAAACAGAATGGGCGTGAGCGCTCAAAGCTTCCTGCCCCTGTCTGCATTCTGGTCCATCCTCGGAACTAATCGGGTATCTGATTCAGGGGCTTTGCCTTGTGACTTATAATTTTCTACAAAGGTCAGATCCAGCTACCTGACGAGTCCAACATGGCACAATCCTGCTTGGAAGCCCTTCCATTGCTTTTATTCCAAGGTTATTGGGAAAAGACTCTAGAAAGAGTACAGATAAGAGCAACACAGATGATTAGGGGACTGGAGGCTAAATCATATAAGGAACGGCTGCTGGAATTGGGTATGTCTAGTTTAACGAAGAGAAGGACGAGGGGGCATATGATAGCAGTGTTCCAATATCTCAGGGGCTGCCAGAAAGAAGAGGGAGTCAAGCTATTCTCCAAAGCGCCTGGAGGCAGGACAAGAAGCAACGGATGGAAACTAACCAAAGAGAGAAGCAACCTAGAACTAAGGAGAAACTTCTTGACAGTTAGAACAATTAACCAGTGGAACAACCTGCTTCCAGAAGCGGTGAATGCACCAACACTGGAAGTTTTTAAGAAGAAACTGGACAGCCATTTGTCCGAAACGGTATAGGGTTTCCTGCCTGAGCAGGGGGTTGGACTAGATGACATCCAAGGTCCCTTCCAACTTTATCATTATTATTATTATTATTATTATTATTATTATTATTATTATTAGTGTGATTTTTTTTTTTTAGCCATCAGAATGTGTAGCCGATAGAACTCCCATTTGGTAATGGCAATTTTTCCAATACAGGTAATCCTCGACTTCAAGACCATTCATTTAGTGAGTTACAACGGGGCTGAAAAAAGAGGGACTTATGAATTTTCGCACTTATGACCGTAGCAGCATTCCCGCGGTCACGTGATCAAAATGGGAATGCTTGGCCACCGATTCGTATTTATGACCGCTGTCGTGTCTCAAGGTCACATGATCCCCTTTTGCGACCTTCTGACAAGCAAAGTCAATGGGGGAAGGTTCACTTAACCAACCATGTCGCTAACCGAACAAGTGGAGCGATTCACTTAACAACCGTTGGAAGAAAAGTCGCAAAGTGGGGCAAAGCTCACTTTACTGTCTCACTTACCAACAAAAACTGTGGCCTCGATTGCAGTCATAAGCAGAGGGCTACCTGAAAAGGTTTAAATCCATCTTCACTGGTTTTCACACCCGGGTAATACTTATAAGGAACACCAAGATTCCCACAGTGAATTTGAAGCTTTAACTTACATAAATGCCCCGTTCTTTTGGGGTAAAGTTGGTAAAAACTAGCAGGGAGGAACGAGATCTTTTCTCCACTTCCGCTCGACATCCCAAAAATTCTCCCTTCAAAATAAATTAATGGATTTCCCCCCCCCCCAATGCAAGATGATTTCTGTGATACTTTAAAGAGAGGACAAAAAGACATCTTCTCTTAGCCCAGAAGTAGGCAACCTTGGCTCTTTTATGACTCGTGGACTTCAACTCCCAGAATTCCTGAGCCAGCCGTGCACGGCTGGCTCAGGAATTCTGAGAGTTGAAGTCCACGAGTCATAAAAGAGCCAAGGTTGCCTACCCCTGTCTTAGCCAATACAATCCTGCTTGGAAGACCCTTTCCGTTGTTTTTGTTTCAATATCATTGGAAAAATAATACTGTGGGGGAAAAAAATCTTGGCAATAGGCACACCCACTATTATTAACAGTGGCTCTTAAGGATACTCTGATCGAACGAATAGCAATTGACATCACCGTGCCCAGTCATCAGCGGCCCTCTTTTGTACGTTCTCATGTTCTTTCCTTTCGAAAAAGAAATGTAAAAAGTCCTGCTAGCTCTCTGGCACAAGTTACGATTTGCACAACCGCTCTAGTGAAAATGTATAGTCGGGGAATCTAGCTGATCCGAGTTTTGTTTGGTCGAGCAGAAAAACTCTACTCTGGTCACGGAGCAGGCGTATGGAAGAAAACCGAAGTTCAAACGTCAGAAAAATATTAAAAATGGAAAACAAAAATAAATCGCAAAAAGAATAGGGCTGCGTAAGAATCAATGGGACGTAAGATTAGCTGAAGAAAGAGAAAAGGAAAAGTAGCAAGGAAAAGAGAATAAAAAGAAGGACGAGGGGTGACAGGATAGCAGTGTTCCAATATTTGAAGGGCTGCCACAAAGAAGAGGGAGTCAAGCTATTCTCCAAAGTGCCAGAAGGCAGGACAAGAAGCAACGGATGGAAACTAATCAACGAGAGAAGCAACCTAGAACTAAGGAGAAACTTCCTGACAGTCAGTACAATTAATCAGTGGAACAGCTGCCCTTCAGAACTTGTGGGTGCTCCATCACTGGAGGTTTTTAAGAAGAGAATGGGCAACCATTTGTCTGAAATGGTCTCCTGCTTGAACAGGGGTGGTGGTGGACTAGAAGACCTCCAAGGTCCCTTCCAACTGTTATTTTGTTGTTATTCTTCCCTCACCCCATTTTATGGAACCCTATCAATTTCTCATAGCATCTTAGGGTTCCACTCAACAGTTTGAAAAACCCTGTTCTAGAACATCCAGCCCTCTCCTTCCTAAAGACCTTTAACTGCTGTAATGCAAAGGATCTCCAACCCGCTGGGGACGTGGCCTGTTCAGAAATGGACCCCCGCGGGCAGCTGGCTGGAGGTCAACGTGCACAAGTGGTGGACCAGTTCCCTTCTCCCCGCCCGGGCTGCCAAGTTGTAAAGGTTGGGGACCATTGCTCCGATGGAATCCTACTGCCACCTTTGGATAAAGGTGAAGTCTTATCTCTAACCTCATCGACACCATGGCTCCCCACATCTTTTCTTTAAGGAGATCTTCCTGAGAAACGTCTGCTTTCCGATACAGATGAACTCCCAACTTAGATCTTCGGACTCCAGGAAAACTACTGGTACGGAAAGGCATGTCGGGCGGTTCGGTCCAAGAAGGGTAGCCTTGTGAATCCACACAATCCGCTTGCAAGACAGGACAGCAAAAGAGCACTTCTTGTTTCCCCCCCCCCCCCCCCCGAAATATCCCATAGGAGAAGCTACTCTCCTTGATTACAGCACAGGAAGGAAGTGCCATCTTGGATCTAAAGACAGGATCCGGATCGCCAACGGTTTCATCTGGTTACTCTCGACAGGAAGACACCCTTGTCTATCCCTCTTTGGAATCATCCCATCACGGAGAGATGCCAACCTAAGCGCCATCTGGCAGCTTCCTTTGCTACTTCTCTTACAAGAAATCCATCCACGCTGCCATCGTAGTGATCCTTCGGTGCGGGTACAACCTATGAAACCGATCCATCAGAGGATGACGCTTGGTTGCAGGTACTACAGTAGCTTATCCCTTGACCCCTGCCAATCGACAAGCCATTTGGGACAGCGCCTCCCACCCGTTCCCCACCCACCTCCCAATAATGTCACCACGCTGGGTTCCCCTCCGGGATGCTTAAGAGTCATGTCTTGGTTACCGAAGATGTCATTCAGGATCACAGAAGGACGACCATCTTCTTACCCAATGGGTGCATCTCGAGCGGTCTGCCCCAAGGACCACCGCGTCACCGGATCCCCTCTCCACCCTTCCCCAGCACGGTGATGTGGTGACCCTAAGGCCGTGAAAAGAGTCTTGTCTCTGCCCAGCCTATTCACCGCTGGCGTTTTTCTCTTCCCTGGCATCAGGACAAACGTGAAAAGTGGGGGGGGAGGGGGACGACCAGCACAACACGATCAGTTGGAGGTGTCAGAGTGGACGCTGCCGGGACCTTCTGTTGGGGAGGTGACGGAAGAAGGAGTGGCTGCTTCCTGCCAGCCGCCATTGGCCTAATGAAAATAAAAAACAAACAAGGACGGTAAATTTCCCTTCTCTAAAGTGTGTACAGGTAGCCCTCAGCTTTCGTTTAGTGACCCAAGTTATACAACAGGACTGGGGAAAAAAATGACTTATGGCCATTTATCACACTTAGGACAGTTGCAGCATCCCTATGGTCACGTATTCAAAATTTGGACGCTTGGCAACTGACTATTTATGACGGCCGCAGCGTCCCGGGGTCACGTGATCCCCTTTTGCGACTTTCTGACGAGCAAAGTCGGCGTGGAGGCCAGATGTGCTTAACAACCGCGTCACTAACTTAACAACTGCAATGATTCACTTAACAACTGCAGCAAGAAAGGTCGTAAAATGAGGCAAAACCCACTTAACGGCTGCCTGACTTAGCAACAGAAATGTTGGGTTCACGTGAAGTGTTAATACCACTTTACAATGCCTTGGTGAGGCCACACTTGGAATACTGCATCCAGTTTTGGTCACCACGATGTAAAAAAGATATTGAGACTCTAGAAAGAGTACAGAGAAGAGCAACAAAGATGATCGGGGACTAACACATAAGGAACGGTTGCTGGAATTGGGTATGTCTAGTCTAATGAAGAGAAGGACGAGGGGGGACATGATAGCAGTGTTCCAATATCTCAGGGGCTGCCACAAAGAAGAGGGAGTCAAGCTATTCTCTAAGGCGCCTGAAGGCAGGACAAGAAGCAACGGATGGAAACTAATCAAGGAGAGAAGCAACCTAGAACTAAGGAGAAATTTCCTGACAATTAGAACAATTAACCAGTGGAACAACCTGCCTCCAGAAGCGGTGAATGCTCCAACACTGGAAGTTTTTAAGAAGAGACTGGACAGCCATTTGTCCGAAATGGTATAGGGTTTGCTGCCTGAGCAGGGGGTTGGACTAGATGTCCTCCAAGCCCCCTTCCAACTTTATTATTATTATTATTATTGTTATTGTTGTTGTTGTAAGCCGAGGACTAGCTATATCAGTTTTTAATTCCCGCCCTTTTGAAAATTCCCGATAATGGATCATCCCTCTGCTTTCTTAAAATCCTAAGTCCACTTCAAATCCATTTTGTCTCCTACAAAAATAATCAGTCATACTTCTAACATGCCCAAAATTGTTATGTAGCTTAAGCAACTGAGAGCACTGGAATATCATTTCAGACATGTTTTCCTCTTCTGAAGTGTATACACTTCCTATGTTTGTCATCCAAGACAATCGTTAACCAAGGACAGAAAACACTCAAATGTGTATATACAGGCAGTCCTCAACTTACAACAGTTCACTTAGTGACTGTTCGAAGTTACAACGGCACTGAAAAAAAGTGACCTTTGACCGTTTTTCACACTTATCACCGTTGCAGCATCCCCGTGGTCATGTGACTTACATTCGGATGCTTGACAACTGATTCACACTTATGGCGGTTGCAGGGTGCCCGGATCGTGGGATTCCCCCCTTTGCGACCTTCTGACAAGCAAAGTCAACGGGGAAACGAGACTCACTTATAACAACCGTGTTACTGATTTAGTAACTGCAGCGATTCACTTAACAAACGTAGCAAGAAAAGTCGTAAAAAGGGGCAAAAGTCCCTTAACAAATTTCTCGCTCAGCAACATAAATTTTGGGCTCAATTGGGGTTGTAAGTTGAGGATTACCTGCATGTCACTCTTCATGTACGTAGCGCACCGCAGCGCGTTACTTTGATTGTGCTTTGTTTTAAACAAGACACTTACATGGAAGACCAGGTTCCTGGATTATTAACGGAACTAGCATCATCCATAACAAATTGTGGACAGCAAAATAATGACGCACGGCAAATGCTGCCGATACATTTTTATGCAACTCTTGACGCAGGTAGTTCTTACAACCATTCGTTTAGCGTCTCACTGGTAGTTACAATAGCACCATTTTTCACACTTAAATGACCATTGCAGCATCCCCATAACCATGTGATCAGAATTCAGGTGCCTGGCATGTCTTTACAATGAAGCGGACTAGTCACAGGGGGGAGAGATGGGCTGGGGGGGCAAACCTACTCCTTATTTTCGTATCCAGCGAGCGTGGATTTCAGAGCTGGCTTAATGCCAGACTTGCCCCAATCCTATCCCTTAGAAAAGATGAGCCCTCAACTCCATTTGGTTAAAAGCAAAGGGCTCTTTTACTAAGGATGTTGGTTGCAGTAAATTTAAGCCAGCTCTGAAATCTACCGTGGTAATAATAATAATAATAATAATAATAATAATAATAATAATAACAACAACAACAACAACAACAATAATAACAATAACAATAAAAAAGTTGGAAGGGAACTTGGAGGTCATCTAGTCCAACCCCCTGCTCAGGCAGGAAACCCTATACCATTTTGGACAAATGGCTGTCCAGTCTCTTCTTAAAAACTTCCAGTGCTGGAGCATTCACCACTTCTGGAGGCAGGTTGTTCCACTGGTTAATTGTTCTAACTGTCAGGAAGTTTCTCCTTAGTTCTAGGTTGCTTCTCTCCTTGATTAGTTTCCATCCGTTACTTCTTGTCCTGCCTTCAGGCGCTTTGGAGAATAGCTTGACTCCCTCTTCTTTGTTGTACCCCCTGAAATATTGGAACACGGCTATCATGTCCCGCCTCATCCTTCTCTTCATTAAACTAGACATACCCAATTTCAGCAACCGTTCCTTATAGGTTTTAGCCTCCAGTCCCCTAATCATCTTTTTTGCTCTTCTCTGTACTCTTCCTAGAGCCTCAACATATTTTTTACATCGTGGCGACCAAAACTAGATGCAGCATTGCAAGCGTGGTCTTACCAAGGCATTGTAAAGTGGTATTAACACTTCACGTGATCCTGATTCACTAAATTAACTGTTGTTAAGATCTTTTCCTATTTTCATCTGATTACACAAGCACATCCAGGCAATCAGTCTGAAATGGTGCTGTCCGAGGCCGCTTGATCTAAACTCACCCTCATTTCTCGTGGGCTGTACATCTGGCTGGCAGCCATATTGTCCCCATAGCCACCAGGCCCCATGGAGTGACGCATCGACTCCACCTAGGAGTGAAAGAAAAACACACAAAAGGTAGAAAGAATACAAGCTTGGAAGGTTGAAGGGAGAGACTGAGAAATATCCACTATCAATTCTACGCACGGTACACATTTTCCCATAGATTTCCCCTGTTCTCCTTTTTGACGCAACAGTACTTCAGAAAGGAAAAAAAAAATGATGTGACGGAAACAGTAATTTAAACTTCCTCTCCGGTTCCCACAGCCAAGAAACTTAACATTACACTCTTTTTNTGGAAGGTTGAAGGGAGAGACTGAGAAATATCCACTATCAATTCTACGCACGGTACACATTTTCCCATAGATTTCCCCTGTTCTCCTTTTTGACGCAACAGTACTTCAGAAAGGAAAAAAAAAATGATGTGACGGAAACAGTAATTTAAACTTCCTCTCCGGTTCCCACAGCCAAGAAACTTAACATTACACTCTTTTTATCTTTTCACAGAGCTGTAAAAACTTGGCTTTTCTCCCACACGTCGGTGAGCCCGATCTCTTGGGAGGAAAAGTGCTTTTTATACTCAGCCTTGGCTGTGTGCATTGTTATATTGTTTTATTTTTATATTGGCCTTGATTTGTGCCTCAGTTGCTATTTATTTATGTACTATATTCATTTACTATCAAATTTATATCCTCCGGAATGAGAGTCCCCAGGGATCCAAATGTCCCCCCATCCTGCTTTGTTCTATCTGGTCTGTTGCGCTTGCCAAATATTTACCAATTTTAATTTATTTGTTTGATTGTTAACCACCCAGAGTGGTTGGGAATCAGGCAGCCTACAGGTTTAATTTAATAAATTATTATGATTATCCTGCCACCATCATAAAAAAACTCAGTGGCTCGCCATAACAAACCAAAAATAAATAAATAAATGACATGGAATAAAAAAGTGTATTATAAATACTCAAAAATACACAAACTGGGAGTGGGGTGGTCCTACCCATTCTTTAAGTTTGTTTGTTTCAGGTAAATATAATCAACTTAAAAAGATTTTAAATTAACTTGGAAAAGGACTTTTTGCTAAACGGGATTTATTTGTGAAGGAGCTAACTTTTTAACTGTTAATTTTTTAAGATCACAGCAGTCAATTGCATAGGTTTGCTGTGGGATAAGGGCACTGTATGATGTGAAATTTCCACTGGAACTTTTATTAGCAACCAGTCACCCAAAGTAGTGTTTCTCAACCTTAACGTTAAGATGTGTGAACTCCCAGGATTCTGGGAGTTAAAGTCCACACATCTTAGTTGCTGAAATTAAAACACACACACACACACACACACACACACACACACATCAACCTAGAAGATAAAAAACAATTTGAAAGGGCTCATGTTCTCAAATGGGTTTGACTAAATGTCCCTTTACTCTGAATCAATGCAGTTATTTGCTCTGATAATGGGAAACAAAAGGATTTTGGTCCAACTTTTCTGAACAGCATCTGAGAAGGCAGTAATTAAATAAACAATAAACAAAGCTATTATTTATTTCTATTTCACATTTCTTAACCTCCCATCTCCCTCAGCGATTATTGCCTGTCAGAAGAAAAATAGCCACATTTGGTACTTTGTTTTTCATCCCTTATTGTACAATCACGTCAAGATTTTTAGAAAGAGTTTTTAAAAAAACTAGGAATATAAAAGATACTATAAATCAAGCTCCTCAAAACCTCGTGGATGACTGTTTTCTTAAGGGATCAGCAACTCGTTCCTCAAGGATATTTTTTCCTCCTTCCTATTTTTGCCTGTAGCCCTGATAATCATTATCAGGATCACAATCTTCTCAAATGGCCAAACGCCATTGTGCCGTAGTAGTAGTAGTAGTAGTAGTAGTAGTAGTAGTAGTAGTAGTAATGTTGGAAGGGACCTTGGAGGTCATCTAGTCCAACCCTCTGCTCAAGCAGGAAACCCTATACCAGGGGTAGGCAACCTTGGCTCTTTTATGACTCGTGGACTTCAACTCCCAGAATTCCTGAGCCAGCATGGCTCAGCATGGAAACCTCTCCCTTTCCCCTCAGCATGGCTGGGCTCAGGAATTCTGGGAGCTGAAGTCCGCAAGTCATAAAAGAGCCAAGGTTGCCTTACCCCTGCCCTATACCATTTCAGACAAATGGCTGTCCAGTCTCTTCTTAAAAACTTCCAGTGTTGGAGCATTCACCGCTTCTGGAGGCAGGTTGTTCCACTGGTTAATTGTTCTAACTGTCAGGAAGTTTCTCCTTAGTTCTAGGTTGCTTCTCTCTTTGGTTAGTTTCCATCCGTTGCTTCTTGTCCTGCCTTCAGGCGCCTTGGAGAATAGCTTGACTCCCTCTTCTTTGTAGCAGCCCCTGAGATATTGGAGCGCTGCTATCATGTCCCCCCTCGTCCTTCTCTTCATTAAACTAGACATACCCAATTCCAGCAACCGTTCCTTATATGTTTTAGCCTCCAGTCCCCTAATCATCTTTGTTGCTCTTCTCTGTATTCAGTAACAGTAAAAGAGGACAGACTTTCTATCACTTCAACAGTGCCTGGGAGATGCTCTGTGGCTGCTGCAAGTGCCAAGCAGGGAACTAACCTGTGATGTAGAATAGGAGTCTCCATTCAGCCCCTGAAGGCCCATGAACATATCCCCCGAATTGGACAGATTGAAGGAGCCCCCGGAGCCTGTGAGAAAATTTGAGGAAAGATGGGAGAAAAAAGAGCAATGGAGTGAACGGGTGGAGAATGCAGGTCTTTCGAGGAAAGAAAAGATTAAGGCTACTGACAGGTTAAGTAAACTATGTCTATGCCACGAGCCCCAAGCGCAGAGAGGAGTACTAGCTCTAGCTTTTATGTAAGGTCATAGTAACAGAATCCCTCTGTTACTGTAACAGAATTCCACACTTACCCTGTGGTTAGATGGGCAGCCAATAAATGTTATAAATAAGTAAGCAAGGAAACAAATACATGAATAAATCTGGCAAATCTGAAGGTACATCTCTTCCCCTTCACCTTTACCATCCAAGAAACCAGAGAGGGACCTTTCTGAGATGGTTTTCCACGCCCACATTCCTGCTGTGGACTCAGCAGCCTCTAAACTGACTGGTGTCTAGTCTGTGGCTCTTCCTCCTGTCTCCCCAAGGTCATTCCCGCAGACCATTACATTGGCCTGGGGGCTGGGGAGAAGGAAGAAAGAAAGAAGGAAGGAAGAAAGGAAGCATCTGTGTCTGCATTCAGCAGGCTACTGCCGAACAAACCTTCCCCTGCCTTCTCGACCCTTACCTCTAAGAGGGCTCCTCGAGGTGCCAAATGACCTCCCCCGCCAAGGTACGAAGAGGTTAGGGTCGTTCCTGAGGACGTGGTTGTACCCCACATCGCCTCAAAACCCCTCCTCCCCTCAATGGGCGCCTCCTCCCCCACAACCCTCTCAGCGGGGGCGACTGTGCGGCGCTGACCGCCGTTTTCACGGCGTAAATATTGGCTTCCTCTTGGAACTTGCCGATGTTCTTCTTATAGCGGATGCGCTTGTTCCCGAACCAGTTTGAGACCTGGAAGGAGGGAGGGAGGGAGAGGGCAGAGGTCAACATGGAGGGACAGGAAGCGGGAGGGGAAGAAGGGGGAAAGAGGGGTGAGGAAGGAAGGGAATTATGGATCGATAGGTCAGCCAAACCTGGACCCTTTTCCCCCGGCCGACCGTCTTTCCCGAAGTGATCCTACCGTCTCTCGCAGACAGTCTTGCAGCCTGCTTGGATCAGCTTCAGACCTGCCCCCCGCATACGTCCTGGTACCTGCGAGACGGTGATGCCGCATTTCTTGGCAAGCTCCTCCTTGGCCTCCTCGCTGGGATACGGGTTGCTCAGGTGGGAGTAGAAATATTCATTCAGGACCTCGGTGGCTTGTTTGCTGAAATTGCGTCGCTTCCGCCTGTCCGTTGCATGGGACAAAAGGGGGGGGGGAGAGAGGTTGACAATGAGAACAAAATGGCTGCCATTCGGGTATCAATGTCTGTTGAAGAGAGAAACCCGTATGGGATTAAGAAGGGGAAAAAATTAAAAATAAAAAAACAAGGAGCAGGAAGAGTAGGGATTTATAGGTATATTAGAAAAAGTATATAGAGCAGTGATGGCGAACCTTTTAGACACCGAGTGCCCAAAACTGGCCCCACCCCCTCTCCACCCCCTGCCCTGCCCCCACTCCGTTCCCAGTCCTGCCTGCCCGCAGGGCCACTCACCGCCTCCAGGGCCCGCCGCAGATTGCCCAGGCAGCCCAGCAGCACCATGGCGGCCATGCCCTCTGCCCACGCCCCGCAGCATCATCTGCACGCGACGAGGCGTAAGGGCAGAGTCTTGTTCACGCTGCCTGGCTGCCATGTCCTTGGCTGCGCTGCTCCGCGTGGGCCACGCTCGGGGGCAACTCTCCTCTAGGGGGGCTGCTGGTAAGGAGGTGGTCGTGGGGGGAGACGAGGCTGGGGCAATGGCACGTGTGCCCACAGAGAGGGCTATGAGTGCCGTCTCTGGCACGCGTGCCATAGGGTCGCCACCACTGATATAGAGCAACCCTTCCTGGTAACATACTAGTTCAGGGGTAGGCAACCTTGGTTCTTTTATGACTCGTGGACTTCAACTCCCAGAATTTCTGAGCCAGCCATGCTGAGGGGAAAGGGAGAGGTTTTCATGCTGAGCCATGCTGGCTCAGGAATTCTGGGAATTGAAGTCCACGAGTCATAAAAGAGCCAAGGTTGCCTACTCCTGAACTAGTTGGTTGCAGAGGGTAAAAACAATCTCTTCAAATATAGGCAGTCCTCGGATTACGATGGCAATTGGAACCACAACTGCCATCGCTAAGCAACACAATCGTGTCATGTATCAACCTTGTTAACTCTCAAGACACTTTTTTCCGCTAAATGGTCCGTGATTAATGTGTGTGTGTGTGTGTGTGTGTGTGTGTGTGTGTACACGGTTGCCAAAATGATTCACTGGAACATCTGTAGACATTATTATGTTCCAGTAATCAACAAATGGTGGAAACATGTACTTGAAAATGAGCAGGGTAAAATATTGTGGAATTTCCACATGTGGAATGATAAAAACTTGGCTCCTAACACACCAGAGGTAACCGTGGTTGAAAAGAAGTGTGGATAATTGATGTGGCAATTATCGGGTATAGTAAAAAGGGAAGGCAAAAGAATTGGCGATCACAAAAAATTAAGATATGAAAATCGAAACTGAAAAATTATGGCATAAACCGGGCAGTGTGGCACACTGGGTGCCAGACCAAAAAAATCTTGGACAGCACTTAGGAAATCTTGGCATCGAACAAAATTTCCATCTGTCAACTGCAAAAGGGGGCAGCTTGATGACTTAGCACAGGGGTCCCCAACCAGGCCACGGCCTATTGGCCACCAAGCGCTCATGGTCCCACTCGCGTAAGCAACGGGTTTTCATGCCCGTGCATGCGTGTAACCCTCCCATAAAACTATCCCTTCTTCCCCCCCTCCCGTCCTCCAGGCCACCAACCCTGAAAGGTTGGGGAACTCTGGCTTAGCAGTTAAGACGCTGGGCTTGTTGGCTGGAAAGCCAACAGTCCGGGTTCAAGACCCAAGCATCAAGCAATGGGATGAGCTCCCGTCCTCGCCCTAGCTCAGGGGTAGGCAACCTCGGCTCTTTTATGACTCGTGGACTTCAACTCCCAGAATTCCTAAGCCAGTTATGCTGACTCAGGAATTCTGGGAGTTCACGTCCACGAGTCATAAAAGAGCCGAGGTTGCCTACCCCTGCCCTAGTTCCTATTAACCTAGCAGTTCAAAAGCATGCAAATGTGAGTAGATAAATAGGTACCACTTCCATGGGAAGCTAACAGCGCTCTGCACCATCATGCTGGCCACGACTGTGGAAACGTCTTCAGACAGCGCTGGCTCATGGCTTTGAAACAGAGATGAGCACTGCCCCTTATAGTTGGCAACGATTAGCGGAATAAAATCCACAGGGACTAATTACCTTTCCCTTCCAATTGCAAAAGGCCACATATCTTGGATCCGCTCTTATACTACACCAATACATTACAACATCCTAGGTTGAAGAACTCAAATGTGTATGAAGGTCAACACCAGCTAAACAACTAGCAGCTGTGATTTCACATTATTGTGTATGTGATAGTAATAAATTGTGCTATTTGGGCGGAGTAGCTTTTTCTAAAGCCAGATTAAATGTGTTGCCCTCAAAGATGCTCTATGGTAGATTTCAAAAGATCTCCCATCTCTCCACGATGGTGCTCTTGTAATGATAACTGACCTGTGATCAGTTCTTAATGCATTATGATTTCTATAGATTTTTTTAAGATGGAGGCAAGGAAGAGATATTTCTGAATACATTTAAACTTTTACTCCCATATAAAAATCCCAAAAAATTAGAGGCACATTTTTAACTATGGCTATAAGCCAAGTTCTTTACTAATAAACTTTTAAATGAATTGTGTAATATCTATCCATTTATTTTATCTGTCAAACTGCTTTATCTTATGTTTGATCATACCTGTTACTTAGCTATTTGAATATTTTAGCCGTGATATACATTACACACATACAAAAGACATGGGTTTGACCTCAGCTTGGTGGCTCTGAGGCTCAGACTCACTGCCTATCAACAGCTGTAGCCCAGATGTTCACTGCAGCTGGATAACACAGGATCCAAGCCCTTTTATTGCTGGCTGAGGAATTCTGGGAGTTGAAGTCCATACAGGCAGTCCTTGACTTATAGCCAGTTGCTTAGTGACCGTTCAATGTTCCAATGATTATCCCATATGGTCATGTGACCAAACTGGGCATTTGCCAACCAAGTGCAGTTTTTTTTTCCAGCATCCTGTGGCTGCATTTTACAATAGTTTTGCCAAAAAACCCTCAACCCTGCAGCATTTATTTCTGGTTTTTGGCAAAGCCACGCCCAGGGCCAATCATTATTTGCTTAACAACTTTGGTGTTTGCTTAACAAGCAGAGTGTCCACTTTATAACTGTAGTGTTTGCTTAATGACTGTCACAAAAAACAAGGTTTTATGCCCATCACAACTTATGACCATGGTGGGCAGGCTGTGGTGAGCCAGAAAGACGGCTGAGAAAATATCTACAGCCCCCTCACATCCTGGACCTAAACTGTTTCAACTTCTCCCCTCAAGACAATGTTACAAGGCATTGTGTGCCAAAACAACTAGACACAAGGACAATTGTTTCCCCATGCCATTACTCTGCTAAACAACTAATTCCCACAACACTATCAAACTACCTAGTAGGGCTGTATTACTGTTATCCTTCTCATCTTTCCTATTACCTATTTCGTTATCTTCTTATGACGATAACTTTGTTGCATGTGTCTTATGATTTATATTGTTTTTATTTAATATCCTAGTGTGATTTATGTTGACTGCGTATTTAGTGTCCTAGGACTACCATTGAGTGTTGTATCTTATGATTTATGATGATTGTATTGTACGATTATGATCATGATTTATCACTTGTTGCTCGTGTGCACACTGACAGCTTATGCACCGGAGACAAATTTCTTGTGTGTCCAGTCACACTTGGCCAATAAAGAATTATATTCTATTAAGTTGACGGCTGCCTATGCCTCTTAGAAGTTACTGAAGTTGAGGAATACTGCATTAAACTCTTGGGGAGAGGGAAGACTTTGTGACTCCACCATTTGTTTTGGCTGGCATGGCCAGCTCCAAATTTGCAGCAGTAAAACAAGGGTGGGGAATTACGGTCCTTTTATGACTTGTGGACTTCAACTCCCAGAATTCCTGAGCCTTATGACTTGTGGACTGGCTCAGGAATTCTGGGAGTTGAAGTCTACAAGTCATAAGGCTCAGGAATTCTGGGAGTTGAAGTCCACAAGTCATAAGGCTCAGGAATTCTGGGAGTTGAAGTCTACAAGTCATAAGGCTCAGGAATTCTGGGAGGTGAAGTCCACAAGTCATAAGACTCAGGAATTCTGGGAGTTGAAGTCTACAAGTCATAAGGCTCAGGAATTCTGGGAGTTGAAGTCCACAAGTCATAAAAGGACCATAGTTCCTCTGAGGTAAAATAACCACCTGGCATCCAGGAAGCGGGAACGCAGGATCATGACAGCTTCACACGTGCTCTGCTTCAGCTGCATCTGGATAGAGCTGAACTTCCGATGGATGATGCTGACCATGCGCTCAATCTCCTTAGGCGACACCGGGCGTGTGCGGCTTTGCTCTCGAAGCAAATTCATCACGTGGGTTGTGAACTCATTGCAGGCCTTTGCGGGTCGAGGAGTGGAAAAGAAGAAGGAAGAGGAGGGGCTGGTGAGTCAAAAGCTACGATGGCAAGAACACGACACTCTCCCCATCCATAGCAATCTATCCTCCATTCCAAAGATTCACCGCCTCTGGCCACTAAGTCTCAGCTTGCATCTCCAGCTAATCAGTTTTGTACAGGTTAAGTCCTCGACGTACAGTCATTCGTTTTGTGACCGTTCAAAGTTACAACGGCACTGAAAAAGGGACTTATGATCATTTTTCACAGTTGTGACCATTGCAGCATCCCCATGGCCACGTCATCAAAATTCAGACGCTTGACAACTGCCTCGTATTTATGACGGTTGCAGTGTCCTGGGGTCATATGATCCCCTTTTGCAACCTTCTGACAAGCAAATTCAATGGGGAAGCCAGATTCAATCAAGAACCGAGCAACTGCAGTGATTCACTTAAAAACTGTGGCAAGGAGAGTCGTAAAATGGGGCAAAATTCGCCTAACAACTGTCTCACTTAGCCACAGAATTTGGGGGTCAACTGTGGTCGTAAGGCAAGGACTACCTGTAGGACTATTAACTTTTCTTCCCTAGAAAAGTCTGATTTTTCTACCCATTCAATCTGTTGCCCACTGTGGTCCTAAGTGTGGCTACCGAAAACACAGGCCCGGATACTTCCTATTGTGACATGGGAAGTATTTGCCGATTTAGAAGAAGCCTCCAAACAGAATAAACCATTAAAAACACTTTTTTTAAAAAAAAAAAATCCCTAAAAAGATACATACACATATAAAAGCAGTCCCCCAAACTCAGTCCTCACTCAGATGTTCAACAGTTGATGGGAATGAAAAGTTAAAATAAATGTAAATTAATAATAATTATTACAATAGCAGCAGCTCTCTTTGTTTCAGCTACCAGCATCTAAATATTAAGTTCAATCTTCGCCCTGAATTTATCATCTGCAGCCATTTTTTTACCCCACAATTGCAAACCAAAGCAACTAGGATGCATTGATTATTTCTCTTCACCCATTGTGATGTAACTCTATATGCCTGGACGCTATTATTTTATTTTTTAAAAATCAAGTATCCTATAATTGAAATAATTAGTTCAGCCAGTAACAACACCATTAACAATTAGGTGCCACAAAACTGGGCTTAATTCCTAACGATTTAAAAATGCAACTTTAGTAGATTAATATAATAGTGTGGAAGGGGTCTTTTTCAGCTGGGCATTTTGCTGTCCTTTTCAGTGAGTGCCAGGGACTTAAATTAATATATAAATATGCAGCATGAATTGCAGGTACATCAATAGAGGTGATGATGAAGTCCCTGTTTAAATTTCCAAGGAAGTGGATATTGAGTTAATTCTTTAAAAGTGGAAAAGACATAAATATGTCTAGTTTAACGCAGACATGATAGCAGTGTTCCAATATCTCAGGGGCTGCCACAAAGAAGAGGGAGTCAAGCTATTCTCCAAAGTGCCTGAAGGCAGGACGAGAAGCAACGGATGGAAACTAACCAAGGAGAGAAGCCACCTAGAACTAAGGAGAAACTTCCTGACAGTTAGAACCATTAACCAATGGAACAACCTGCCTCCAGAAGCGGTGAATGCTCCAACACTGGAAGTTTTTAAGAAGAGACTGGACAGCCATTTGTCCGAAATGGCATAGGGTTTCCTGCCTGAGCAGGGGGTTGGACTAGATGACCTCCAAGGTCCCTTCCAACTTTATTATTATTATTATTAATTAGTACAAAATAAGTCACCAGGTGGGATTGTTTGCAGCAAATTATGGTGACATCAAAATGTCGGCCTCAGAGGCTAAATTAGACAGGGATCACAGAGGAGCTAATTCTTCTTTATTGTAAAGCGACACGATAGATCAGTGGTGGCGAATCTATGGCACGGGTGCCAGAGGCGGCACTCGGAGCCCTCTCTGTGGGCACATGTGCCGTTGCCCCAGCCTTGCCTCCCCCCGTGACCCCCTCCTCACCAGCAGCCCGCCTGGAGGAGTCACCCCCGGGCGCGACCTGCGCAGAGCAGCGCAGCCAAGGACTTGGCAGCCAGGCAGAGGGCGTGGCCGCCATGGCGCTGCTGGGCGATCTGCGGCGGGCCCTGGAGGCAGTGAGTGGCCCTGCAGACAGGCAGGGTGGGGGCGGGGCAGGAGGTGGAGCGGGGGCAGTTTTTGGCCACTCGGTCTCCAAAAGGTTCGCCATCACTGTGATAGATAGAAGCTTGCAAGTCTGAAAGTACATCTCTGTCCCTCCTTTACAGTTTGAGAAACTAGGGAGGGTCTCTTCTGAGTCTCTTGCCCCACCCACTCTCCAACAGCAGGCTATGCTGTCTGTTATCTGACCGTTCCCTTGGCAACATCTCTTGGCACAGCCTCTCTAGGTCTCTTTCCCACATTCCCTTACACAAAGTGACGTGCAGGCAGTGACACTATCATGCAAAGGCTTCCATTATGTACATCATCAACCTCGGGTTTCATGACCATAGGTCATAAAATGGGGCAAAACTCACTTAAGGAACTGTCTCACTTAGCAACAGAAATTTTGGGCTCAATTGTGGCCGTAAGCTGAGGACTGCCAGTATTCATTTTAAGCCAGGGGTGTCAAACTGGCGGCCCGTCGGCCGGATGCGTCATGCACAGGCCACGCCCACCCCGGCTCCCCAAAGACAAAAAAAGTCACGATACGTCACGTGACACGATCGAGTTAAGACACCTGGGTTTTAAGCAATACTGTTCCACAAAGGAAGAACATCTAACCCGTGACTACAGTACATGTCTATTTGTACTGTTGTGTGTGTGTGGGGGGGGGGGCTATCAGCCTTCCTTAGATTTTACCAGAAGCCTTCATCTATATAAATATCTTTTCCATTCATCCATTTAGATTTTTTTTAAAAAAAGAATTCCCCTGAATTTTTATTTTTAGCTGGGGGGGGGGGGAACTTTGCACAGATTCGTCTGTTATGTTGATTCTGCCCTTTCCTTGACCGGGAATCCTTGCTCATGGTCACTTCCTGTCTGGGATACTGCAATGAACTCTACATAGGGCTGTCCTTGAAGATCCCACCCTTCTGATTTTCTGTAAATGCTTAAAGACCTGACTTGGCCTGGAGTTGGCCTGGAGAGGAGTATCACACTGGAGGGAGAGGAGTATCACACTGGAGGTGGTTGACAGATTGATAACAGATCCCACCTCCCTCCCTCCCTCCCCATCTTTTAGTTAGGGTTGATCTTTTGTATTTTTATCGCATTTTATTTGTCTTAATATGCATGTTTTGTATAGTTCTATCCTTTTTAACGTTGCAAGCCGCCCAGAATTACCCTATGGCAGGGGTAGGCAACCTTGCCTCTTTTATGACTCGTGGACTTCAACTCCCAGAATTCCTGAGCCAGCCATGCTGAGGGGAAAGGGAGAGGTTTCCAAGCTGAGCCATGCTGGCTCAGGAATTCTGGGAGTTGAAGTCCACGAGTCATAAAAGAGCCAAGGTTGCCTACTCCTGACCTATGGTAAGATGGGTGGCCAACAAATTTAATAAACAAAAGAAATAAAGATCAGATGGAACGGGATGATGGCATGCAATGATGTATTTCCCTAAGTTTCCCCATGTAACATCTCTACAGGTAGTCTTTGACTTACAGGCCACAACTGAGCCCAAAATTTCTGTTAAGTGAAACATTGATTAAGTGAGTTTTTCCCCGTTTTACGACCTTCCTTGCCACAGTTGTTAATTGAATCACTGCAGTTGGTAAGTTAGTAACCCGGCTATTAAGTGAAACTGGCCGCCCCATCAACTTCGCTTGTCAGAACGTCGCAAAAGGGGATCACATGACCTTGGGACACAGCAATGGTCATAAGTATGAACCAGTTGCCAAGCGTCTGGATTTTGATCACACCATCATGGGGATCCTACCAAGGTTTTAACTATGATAAATGGTCATGTCACTTTTTTTCCACTGTGGTTGTAAGTTGTAACTTTGAATAGTCACTAAATGAACTGTTGTAAATCGAGGACTATCTGCACTTCATGAGTTGAGCTGGCTCTCAATTTCCACCCAGGTGCACTTCAAGGTGTTGGCTATTACTATTAATTTATAACTATTTATTGAATCTGAAAATGAACAAGTTAAAGAAACAATGATAACATGGGCAAGCAATTTTGAATATACAGTAACATAGACTTAGAAAAATGGCAAAACTTGTGGGAAAGAAATTATAAACTGACAATGTCAACTTCTTATAAAGAAAACCTACCGTATATAAAATGTTTTATAGATGGCACTTGCCACCAGCAAGATTAGCAAAAATGTTTAAAAATATGTCAGATAGTTGTTGGAAGTGTAAACATAAATCAGGTACTTATGTATGGTGGACGTGTTTTAAAGCAAAGAGGTACTGGACAAAAATACATACTTGGCTAGGAAAGATGTTGGGAAAGCATGTAGGTTTTAAACGTGAACTTTTTTTTTACTAGGCATAATGCCAGAAAAGATTGATAAACAAAGTATTTACTTGATTTTACATGTGACAACAACGGAAAGAATCATATTCGCACAATATTCGAAAAATGAAGAAATGCCACAAGAGGAAGAAATAATAAAAAAAAATACTAGAATGTGCGGAAATGTACAGACTTACTACGAGGTTGAAAGAAAAAGAAGAAATGGAATACTTTCAAACTTGGGACTTATTTTATCAGTGGATGGAGAAAAGAATAAAGGATCAGGAATTAAATTTGTATTGTTGAATAAATACTATTGAATTGTATGGGAAAAAAATCAATAAAAACTTTAACCCCCCCCCCCCAAAAAAGGTACTGGCTATTATCTTGAAAGGCCTGCAGGGCACAGGGCCAGTTTATCTGCAGGACTGCCTTTTCCTAAGTCAGGGATAGGCAACCTTGGCTCTTTTATGACTTGTGGACTTCAACTCCCAGAATTCCTGAGCCAGCCATGCTGAGGGGAAAGAGAGAGGTTTCCAAGCTGAGCCATGCTGGCTCAGGAATTCTGGGAGTTGAAGTCCACGAGTTATAAAAGAGCCAAGGTTGCCTACCCCTGTCCTAAGGGCATCGACCAGTCTTACCAGCTCAGACAGGGTGGGCATGCTCCTAGTCCCTTTCTTTAAACACTGCATCGTATGGGAGGTGGGAAAGGTGCCTTTTCCATGGCAGGCCCTGTCCCATGGAATTCCCTTCTCCCTGAAGTTCAGCAGGCCTCCATCTTCCTCCTCGCCTTCCGAAAAGATCTTAAGGCCTGGCTTTTCCCTGAATTCCTGGGATAGGATGAGGTGGGTGAGAGGACTGACCGAGGAACTGCATGTGGAAAATTAACTTTGGTGCCAGCTTTTGATACTTATTTAATGTTGCAGGTAATATTTCATTATAGGTTTTTATACACTGAACACTTAATATATTTAATGTTTTAATAGGTATGCGCATTATGTCGTTTTATTATTGGTTTTGTTTTAACTCTTGGTTGGAAGCTGCCCAGAGTTTGATATGGGTAGCTATACCATTGGTTTAAATAAATAAATAAAATATATAGTAGCATATGTGCCATCAAGCCAGTGTTGGCTCCTAACAACCATGGATGTAGATTTTCTCCAGAATAATGGGATCCGACCCCAATACTGTCCTTTGTATGGATTCTTAATTCCAACACTGCCTCCATCATCACTGTAATCAGGTTCATCTGCTTTGCTGTTTTCTCTTTCTTTCTTTCTTTCTTTCTTTCTTTCTTTCTTTCTTTCTTTCTTTCTTTCTTTCTTTCTTTCTTTCTTTCTTTCTCCCTTCCTCCTTCCTTTCCATCTTTCTCAGCACTATAGATTTCCTCCACTTGTCCCCAAAATGGCATCATATATGACTATCTCCATGTAATTTAAAAATAAATATATATATACAAGGGGAACGGCAGGATCCAAACGGTTTACTGCCCTAAACGTGTGCAAACCAAAGAATTTGGCAGAGAGCAAATCCCTTTAAATGTGCACGTGCACACACACGAATACACACACACACACACACACACAAGTGCCTGCCCTCAGGTCTTCTTACCTGCTCGTACTTTTCCAGCTCGGAGTGGTAGATCTGGCGGATCTGCGAAAGCTTATTGCGGTAATCCGAGTGCTCGATGGAGTTGTCGGGGGACACCCCTCCTGCCGCCGCCGCCGCCGCTGCCGCTGCCGCAGAGCCACCCCCTTTTTCGGGTCCGGCCACCCCCTCGGCCAAGAGCATGTTATCCAGGCGCATCAGCTGTGGGTCCACCGGCTCTTCCTCTTGCGAACTCCGGATGCTCAGCCCTGCAAGCGTCGGGAGAGGAAGGGTTAAACGGGCCGCTTGTGCAAACCTGGGCTTGTGTGCGGGAGCTTTCATGGGGGGGGGATGGGAGATGGAGGGGGTGCAAGCATGCACACCCACTCCCCCTCATTCTTTCTCGGAGGGCTCCCCCTCCCTTCCCTCTGGGTGCCTCTCTGTCGCTTGGCGAGAGGCTGGGTTGCCAGGAGGTCGTTGCTATGGTAGCGGCAGGCCCGGGAAAAGGGGTAGCAGTTTTTGGCAGGAAGTCAGCCTACCAAGAGATGTGTGTGTGTGCGTTTGTGTGGCTGTTGGCCATGCTCTGGCCATGTTGGCCAGAAGGAGAGTGGGACAGAGAGTGGAAAGGGAGAAGGGGAGAAGCAGAGACCCCCACAGAAGTAAGAGTGAGGATTAGCCAGTTTGGCTCTCTAACCTTCCCCCCACCCCACCCCCCCAAAAAAACAAATGTGGGGGAGACATTTTGCCCTCCCTCCTCCATGTTTTCAATCCAGGGTCGGCCTTTGCTTTGAGTAACAGCCCGGGGCCTCCTCCGTGCACCCCACTCCAAGGGGGAACCCCCCCCAAAGCTGGCATGCAGCCAAAAGAGAGGAAATAACTCACAAACCTCCCCCCCCATACCTCTCCCCTTTGCAAAAACACCCCACACTCTCCCGCTATATAAGAATCATCTGGCTATGGGCGCAACTCGATCTGTCACTCAGGCATCCCGTTAGCAAATGTAGTGGGTGCGGAAGCCGCCCGACCCGAGCTGGGACAGCCCCACATCTGGCAAGGCAACTTGCTGGAGGTGAAGTGGGGAGGGGGGAGAGGTGTAGAGCAGTGGTTCTCAACCTTTTTAATGCCGCGACCCCAACCGGTCATAAGTTGAGGACTAAACCGGTCGTAAGTTGAGGACTAAACCAGTCGTAAGTCGAGGACTAAACCGGTTGTAAGTCGAGGACTACCCAACCGGTCGTAAGTCGAGGACTTTCCCTGCCCGGGAGCGCTGCACATGTGTGGTTCCGCCCCCTGCGCCGGCCGAGGCGTAGCTGACAAGAGGCAGAGACGGAGCAGGCCGACCACCAGCTGGCCCAGCCCAAGGGAGGTAAGGCACCCGCCGGAAAAGGGGGAAAAATGGCGGACAAAAAAAATGGCGGACAAAAAAAAATGGCGGACAGTCTTGCTTGGCGACCCCCATGAAATGGTCGATCGACCCCAAATGGGGTCCCGACCCACAGGTTGAGAACCACTGGTGTAGAGAAATGGGACAAATGCATCGGATTTGTAACCAAGCAAGGTTGCACCAGCAGGGAGAGGCCCATAGGAGCAAATCTGTGCAACTCACTTGACTAGTTCTGGAAAGGCCTCCTTGCTTGGTGCAAATACAACAGTGTTTCTCAACCTTGACAATTTTAAGGCATGTGGACTTCAACTCCCAGCAATGCTGGCTGTGGAATTCTGGGAGTTGAAGTCCACATGCCTTAAAATTGTCAAGGTTGAGAAACACTGAAATACAAGGAGGCTGGAAGCCCAATCCATGATGGAGTTTCCTCCACCTTTTGCTCACCTTGTGGGAGGAGAAGGGCTGGTCTGTGGTGTTAAAAAAACCAACAACCCAAAACCACAGGAGCCCTGGAGCCTCTTTTCTGATACACACAGCTCACAAAAGGAGCTGCTTTTTAATAAAACCAAGAGCTCCCAGGCTCTTTATTTCTTGCTCTGCCTAAAATCTCTTGCAGTGAACAGAAGCTGTGGGAAAAACTCTTCTCCCGTTAAGATGCGTTGGTGCCTCAAGCCAGAAATTCAACTAGCGTAGCCTTTCTCTTTACACCAGGATTTCCCAAAGCTCTCAGTCTTGGACTCCCGGGGGACAACGTAACTAGTTTATTTATTTTTATTTGCAGATAGTCCTCGACCTACGGCCACAATTGAGTCCCAGCATGTCTGTTACTAAGCGAGATGGCTGTTAAAGTGAGTTTTGCCCCATTTTACAATCTTTCTTGCCACGGTTGTTAAGCGAATCATTGCAGTTGTTAACTTAGTTAACACGGTTGTCCGGTGAATCTGGCTTCCCCATTAACTTTGCTTGTCAGAAGGTCGCCAAAGGTGGTCACATGACCCAGAACACTGCAACCGCCATATATATATATATATATATATAGATAAACGATAAAGGCAGCATTCCCGTGGTCATGTGATCAAAATTTGGATGTTTGGCAACTGGCATATAATAATAATGTAATAATAAAGTTGGAAGGGACCTTGGAGGTCATCTAGTCCAACCCCCTGCTCAGGCAGGAAACCCTATACCATTTCAGACAAATGGCCGTCCAGTCTCTTCTTAAAAACTTCCTGTGTTGAAGCATTCACTGCTTCTGGAGGTAGGTTGTTCTACTGGTTAATTGTTCTAACTGTCAGGAAGTTTCTCCTTAGTTCTAGGTTGCTTCTCTCTAATTTCCATCCGTTGCTTCTTGTCCTGCCTTCAGGTGCTTTGGGGAATAGCTTGACTCCCTCTTCTTTGGGGCAGCCCCTGAGATATTGGAACACTGCTATCATGTCCCCCCTTGTCTTTCTCTTCATTAAACTAGACATACCCAATTCCAGCAGCCGTTCCTTATATGCTTTAGCCTCCAGTCCCTTAATCATCTTTGTTGCTCTTCTCTGTACTCTTTCTAGAGTCACTCAACATCTTTTTTACATCGTGGTGACCAAAACTGGATGCAGCATTCCAAGTGTGGCCTTACCAAGGCATGGTAAAGTGGTATTAATACTTCATGTGATCTTGATTCTGTCCCTCTGTTAATGCAGCCTAGCACTGTGTTGGCTTTTTTGGCAGCTGCAACACACTGCTGGCTCATATCTAAGTGATTGTCCACTAGGACTCCAAGATCCCTCTCCCTATTGAGCAAGGTACCCCCTATATCCGTGATGGCGAACCTTTTAGAGACCAAGTGCTCAAAATCCACCCCCCACCCCGTCCTTGCTCCACCCTGCCCGCTGGGTCCCCCACCACCTGCACGGCCCACCACAGATCACCCAGGCAGCCCAGCAGCGCCATGGTGGCCATGCCCTCCGCCCGCGCCCCGCAGCATCATCTGCATGTGATGGGGCGCAAGGGCGGAATCTTGTCCCCGGTGCCCAGCTACCATGTCCTTGGCTGTGCTGCTTCGCGTGAGCTGCGCCCAGGGGTGACTCTCCTCCAGGGGGGCTGCTGGTGAGGAGGGGGCCGTGGGAGGAGGCGGGGCTGGGACGACGGTGCATGTGCCCATAGAGAGGGCACCGAGTGCTGCCTCTGGCACATGTGCCATAGGTTCACCACCACTGCCCTATATTATACCTGTACATTTAGGTTTTTTAGGAATGATTGAAACTTTCCCCAGTACTGGTAAAGGCCATTGCCATAGATCCCTTCTTGTGGAACATTTTCCTGGGCACAGTGGGGATAAAGGGAGCCAATGGTGGGTGGGAGAGGGATTTTCTGCCCCACTAATTCACAGAGGGCAGGATACAGCTGGAAGGAATTTAAAAGTCCCGCTGTTGAAATTTGAAATCGTAATCTTGAATATGATCACATTACTATTAATCCCAGCCTGTAGGAAAAAGAAGTTTCTCACGATGGAATAACTACAAATTTCACTTTGATCTCTTATCGCATTGCATCTGAAATTTCTCAAAGCAACTATTTTCACTGTTAAAAATGAAAATGGAAAATGAATTATAATATTTCACATTTATGAATTAAGACATTTTGCATTTATCTTATGCCTTGCAGTAAAGGTATTGCTCTCTAGAAATAACTAGTACAACACTGAGAAAACGACAGCAATTTTGGATGTACTGTTCACTCGGTTATTAAAAACATATTTTTCAGTTGCTGTTGCATGTACAAAATACAAATTTAAATTAGTTCTAATAGTGCTTTACTGCAGTGGCTTTTATTTGAGGTCAAGGAAACTAATCAAGGAGAGAAGCAACCTAGAACTAAGGAGAAACTTCCTGACAGTTAGAACAATTAACCAGGGGAACAACCTGCCTCCAGAAGTGGTGAATGCTCCAACACTGGACGTTTTTAAGAAGAGACTGGACAGCCATTTGTCTGAAATGGTATAGGGTTTCCTGCCTGAACAGGGGGTTGGACTAGATGACCTCCAAGGTACCTTCCAACATTATTATTATTGTTGTTGTTGTTGTTATTATTATTATTAAACCTGTAACTCTCAGAATAAATCCACTTTTGGGACTATCTGTAAGAGAATCCAAATCAGCAGCACACAAAGCAGAATCTCCCTAACTTTTGGGGGGAGGATGGAAAGGTATTAGTTATTTCAAAGTGATTTATATTTGCATTAGACCTTAGATCTGCAGACTAAGCCTGCAGTCTAGCATTCTGGACCGTAATGTACAATATTTGCCAGGAATGAGTAAAGGAAGTGATTAAAAACTGTACAAATATTATCCAGAACAGTCATGTGGTTTAAATGTGGCAACTTTTCATAAAAATGGGAAAAACATCGAGACCCGAGCCAAACGTTTCAGCTATTTAAACAAGCCAGTTTTGGTGCTACTGAGCATTCTGAATTCTGCTTAATTGGATGAGACTTTAATTAGTAACTCCCTAACTTCTACCTGGCATTCTGGCTGGGGAATTCTGGGATTTGAAATCCACACACCTTCAGGTTGCTTAGGTTGAGAAACACAGCCCTCAATGATGGAAAAGATCTAGAAACAAGCCTCCAAACAGCATCCTCTACTGATCCTGATTTGACAATAATTATAATCAATAATAACGAATGATATCCTACAAATTCATAATATCAGTATAATTTCAGCCGTTTTTGTCCTGTATTTTAATTCGAGGGAGGCAAGAACTCCCCCAATTAGCAACCATTAAAATTTGCAACAGCACTGGAAAAGTAATGTTATAACCAGTCCTCCACGTTTGTGACTGTTGCAGTGTCCCTCCAGTCGTGAGATTGCCGTTTGTGTACTTCACAGCCAGCTTCCGACA